TTTAGATTCTATACAGGAGTATATGATTATAGAATTTAAAAATATATTTAAGTCAAAATTCACATTAAACAAAATTTATTTTTTTAATGTTTATTTTTGAAAGAGAGAGAGAAAAACAGAGTGGAAGCTGGGGAGGGGCATAGTGGGAGGGAGACACAGAATCCAAAACAGGCTCCAAGCTCTGAGCTGTCAGCACAGAGCCCAGTGCAAGGCTTGAACCCACAAACCACAAGACCATGACCTGAACCCCGAAGTTGGACGCTTAACTGAGCCACCCAGGTGCCCCAATATGTAAGTTTTAATATACTAGCAAAAATGAAAATCAAAACAGTGAAATGCCATTTTTAATTTGTAAATTTGATAAATTGGTGAAGTTTGAGGGCAGCTAATCTTTCAAATGCTGTTTGTGAGGTTCTATTGTCTTTCCCTTTTGGAATGCCACTGGTGAGTATATTTGAAACATTCTATCTCTAGGAATGTATTTTAAAGAAATAAATATAAAGCAAAAGGATGCATGCATGAAATTTTCCTTGTAGATTTGTTTGTATACCAAACAGAAGACACATAAAAATAATTTATTAATAATTTATATCTTAGATCTTTGATTACATTAGTAAAGCAAACTTGGAATTGTGAAAAGAGGAAATAGAAAATAAAAACAATTTTTTAGTTTAATTTTAATTTTTATTTATTTATTTAATTTTTTTTTTAAATTTTTTTTTCAACATTTTTTTTAATTTATTTTTGGGACAGAGAGAGACAGAGCATGAACAGGGGAGGGGCAGAGAGAGAGGGAGACACAGAATCGGAAACAGGCTCCAGGCTCCGAGCCATCAGCCCAGAGCCCGACGCGGGGCTGAACTCACAGACTGCGAGATCGTGACCTGGCTGAAGTCGGACGCTTAACCGACTGCGCCACCCAGGCGCCCCTAGTTTAATTTTTAAAATTAAACTGCAATTCTATTGAGGTAAAATTGACATACAAAATTGTAAGATATCTAAAGTGTACACAGTTGTGATTTGATATACATATGTGTCGTGAAAGAATTCCCCATCTAGTCAATTAACCCATCCATAACCTCACTTTTTTGGTGTGTGAGAACATTTAAGTTCTACTCTTTTAGCAATTTTAGTTGTACAATACAGTGTCATCAACTACAGTCACCATGTTTAATAGTAGGTTTACAGATCTCATTCCTCTTATATCTGAAAGTCAGTACACTTTCACCAACCTCTCCCTATCTCTCCCACCTTCTAGCCCCTGATAACAGTTCTTCTACTCTCTGATTATAAGAATTTAATCTTTTTTTAAAATAGATTTCACAGGTAAGTGATACCATGTAGTATTTGTCTTTCTCTAGCTGACTTATTTCACTTAGCACAGTGCCCTCAAAGTCCATCCATGTTGTCACAAACGGCAGGATTTCTTTCTTTCTCATGGCTGAATTACATTCCATTGTATATATATACCACATCTTCTTTACCCATTTATCCACTGATGGACACTTGGGTTGTTTCCAAATCTTGTCTGTATGAATAATGCTGCAGTGAACATGGAAGTGCATATGTCTCTTCAATATCCTGTTTTCTTTTCCTTTGGATAGAAGTGTAATTGCTGGATCATATGGTAGTTCTATTTTTATATTTTTGGGGAAATTCCATACTGTTTTCTACCATGGCTGCACAAATTTATATTCTCACCAATAGTGCACAAGGACTTCCTTTTCTCCACATTTCTGTCAACCACCTATTATCTCTTGTCTTTTTGGTAATAGCCATTTATTTTTTTTTTCTTTTTTTTTTTTGAAATAGACTCTTTTTTTTAATTTATTTTTTTTGAGACAGAGAGAGACAGAGCATGAATGAGGGAGGGTCAGAGAGAGGGAGACACAGAATCTGAAACAGGCTCCAGGCTCTGAGCTGTCAGCACAGAGCCTGACGCGGGGCTCAAACTCACGGACCGCGAGATCATGACCTGAGCTGAAGTCGGCCCCCAACCGACTGAGCCACCCAGGCACCCCTTGGTAATAGCCATTTAAACAAGTGTGAAGTGGTATCTTATTGTGGTTTTGATTTTCATTTCCATGATGATTAGTGATACTGAACATTTTTTCATTTACTTGTTGGCTTTCTGCATGTCTTCTCTGGAAAATGTCTACTTTGTTCTTCTGTCCATTTTTAAATTGGATTGTTTAATTTGTTGCTATTGAGTTGTAGGATTTCTTTATATAGTTTGACTATTAACCCTTTATCAGCTATGTGATTTACAAATACTTTCACTCATTTTGTAGGTTGCCTTTTCATTCTGTTGTGGGTTTCCTTTGCTGTGAAGAAGTTTTGTTTTTTTTTTTTTTAATTTGATGTCATCCCACTTGTTTATTTTTGCTTTAGTTGCTTTTGCTTTTGGTGTCAAATCCAAAAAAATCGCTGCCAATATTAATGTCAAGGAGCTTACCTCCTATGCTTTCTTCTAGGAGTTTTATGGCTTGTTCTTACATTCAAGTCTTTTAAATTTAACATTTTACATGTTTAATCTTACACAAAGGGAGTCAATAGACAGCATTTATTATTTGATTATTTTGCATTTTTCAGAAGAGAAAAACAGTATTAATGTATATTTTTATAATTTTTAGACAACCAATTGCAAAATATTTTTCAAATTGCTAAAGAAGTGGCTATGATTTCCATACTGTTAGTAAAAACTAAAAGCAAAAATATAGCACATATACATATGGAAGAATAAAGGAAGATACCAGGAAAAGTAAAACCAAATGTAATACATAATATAAAAGAGGAAAACCAAACATCAGGTATGACAATTAAATATATTTGCTAATAGACAAAATTTTAGATAAGGTAAAATTTTAGAAAATTCAATTTTATACTGTTAATAAATTTCTAACCTTAAACAGAACACAGAAAATTGAAAAAAATAAAGGCAGGAATAGATATACATCATGTAAACATAATCAATGAAGACAGAAGTAGCAATATTTTTATTTTTTTTATTTATTTTTTTTTTTAAATTTTTTTTTTTCAACGTTTATTTATTTTTGGGACAGAGAGAGACAGAGCATGAACGGGGGAGGGGCAGAGAGAGAGGGAGACACAGAATCGGAAACAGGCTCCAAGCTCTGAGCCATCAGCCCAGAGCCCGACGCGGGGCTCGAACTCACGGACCGCGAGATCGTGACCTGGCTGAAGTCGGACGCTTAACCGACTGCGCCACCCAGGCGCCCCAGAAGTAGCAATATTTTTATTAAAATAAAATTCAAAAAATTAACTGTAAATATTAATATAACATATTAATATATATTACACATATTTTTTTAGAAAATCAAATCTATACTTCATAAAGACATGATAGCTATAAAACACATTAAGTTCTACAAATAAAAATTTTGAAAAAATGGAATTAATTCATAAAACTTTTTCAATTATATTGAAAGATTTTAATATATGATTACTCTCAAGCTTTAAAAAACAGGAAAGAAAATAATATCAAAAGATGGGAGGTGCATAATTAACTGGTTTGATATGGTACATATATATTTATTATTGTCCTTTATCATTAATAAACATCCTTTATTTTGAAAACCTGAACTTATTAATATTCATAAATTAACTTCTTTGGTTTAAACCTTTTATAAATTTCCAAAAGGATAAAATGAATAGGCTACATTCCCTAATTGTAAATGTGATTAATCTGAAAACTAAAAGGCAAATTTAAATTAAAATTTCCAAACAGAGAAATTTTAAATCATTCTCCTTTTAGAGCAAATAGGAATTTTAAATCAAATTGAAAATCAAGAATGTATTTGTAAACAATTACAAAAACATCATTGGTACTACATCAGGGCAAACCTTTTAATTATACACAAATTTTTACTGTAAGAGATATTGTTTACTATGGTAAATGATATAAGCTTACAAATCAAGAATTCAGGTAAAGATTTTTTTAAAGCATGCCTAAAGAAAGCAGAAGTAAAGTAAAAAACAAAAATTAATCAATTAGGTAGCAGAGAAACAGAATCCAAAAGCCATTTCTTTGAAAATTTCAAGAAAATAATTCCCTGTTAAGCAAAATTCAGAAAAAAGCCAAACTCGGTCATAAAATTAGGAATGAGAAAAGAGCATAATAGCAAGTTGAGGCTTATGTGCTCTAGTTTTATGAAATTAAAAAATCTGGGGGTGCCTGGGTGGCTCAGTCAGTTAAGCGACCGACTCTTGATTTCAGCTGGGTCATGATCTCACCCACTCCAGCCCTACATCCAACTCTGCACTGACAGCATGGAGCCTACCTTGGATCCTCAGTCTCCCCCTCTCTCTGTTGCTTCCCTGCATCCTCTCTGTCTCAAAAATAAATAAGCAGTTAAGAAAAATTTAGAATTTCCTAGAAAACATACAATTTGTTGAATCAGGAAGCAGATTTCAAAAAAAAAGCTACAATAACCAATCAAAAGCTTTTAAAAATATTTTTAAGTATTTAAAAATATTTAAATTTAAAAATATTATTTCTTTAAAAAGCTAGAAGCACTCTTTCAAATGTAAAAGAAACAGATATTTCCTATGTTATAAAATCTGTTCCGGAACCTTAAAAACTAAATAGTTTACCAGTTAACTTTACAAAACTACATAAGCCTGATACCAGAAGCCAGAATATAAGATAGAAAAAAAAAAAAATTAAAAGGAGGAGGATAAAATTGTGTTTTTAATACATTGCATTGAAGAAAACTAGTTAGGCCCAAGACTTGTTAACAAAAAGTTGATTTAATGCCAAATGAGTTTGAGTTACACATCCTCTTGAAGAGATCAGCAATGTACATCATCACATCTTAAAGGTTCTGCACTTGTGTGAGAATTATCATTAACGGCAAATTCTAAAATTTTTCAAACATATAACATTTTTTTACATCTTCATTATTAACACTTAAATACGTTATTGTACCTCTAATGCTTGATCATAGTTGGTCCTCAATAAATATGTTATTCTTTTTCTCTCTTTTTTCCTAATTGTGAGATTTTGTGTCTTCAACAGTAGATGGCATTGAGCTTAATCATAACCATTCAGGCTTTTCCTGATGGAATGGTTACAGAGCTGATTAAACATGTTGTCAAGTTAAAATAAAAATACAGGGAACAGAAAGGAGATAAAGAGAGTTTGGAGACATCGAGGGAAGGGAGGAAGCTCCAAGGTCTTCACTGCACAAAGTGGGGAAACATGATATGATTTATGTTTATTGAACAAGAAATGGAGGTATTGATGTGACATTCAAGGAACTCAGAATAGTGACCTCACTAGTACTAATTACAAGGAATGAGAGACATAACTCCTCATCTATCAGACAGTCAATAGACATTGCCCAAAGTTGGTAAGTCAAGAAAGTGGTACAAACGTATTATTTAAAGATGTGGAAGTGACTATTTTGAAAAACCAACAACCCAAACTAATTAGAAGTAATTGCCTTTGAGGAACAAAAGTGAAGTTGGGGTGGAGGACTGTTACTTTTCATTTTAAATCCTTCTGTATTATTTGATTTTTTTTAAATGATGTACCTGTTTTGGTATGTTAAAGCTTTTCTAATGTAAATGTGTAGATGTACAAATTTCATTTTTAGCAGAGTTAGTGGAAGATGACAATTTAGGATATAGATTAATACAGGCATAATGTGACTGTTCAAAACTACTAAAACTCAATTTCAATCTTGGCTCAACCAACTACTAGGACTTGATGATTTTAAATAAGTCACTAAAACTTACTAAACCTCAGTTTTTTTCCTCTAAAAATATCAGTAATTATAACTACCACATAATGTTATTTTGATATTTGAAATTGAGATAATGTGTCTAAAGCACACAGCACACATATGGAAAGTGCTTAATATTATTACACTTAATAGTGATAAAGTAACTTAATAGTTGTTTTTAAAATTATTCTCGATTATATGCTGTAGTCAATCTATTTTTTCAATCTTCCTTTAGGTATGAGCATATAAATATGTAATATGTAAGTGGAGATTTCTTAAATGCTAATTGTGACAAAAATTCTTCTAGTTTTTAAGAATTTCAGAACATTTTTATTACCTGCTTTAGAGGCATCATGATGTATTGGAGGAACCCGGGATTAATTTGTCCCCTCCACCTTGGGTAAGTCATTTAATCCAATTTAAGTCACTCCATTTATAAAATGGCATAGCTGGAGATTGACCTGTCTGAAAATTATAGAGAATCAGATGTTCATTTGAGGTGCTGGCCACTTCTAAAGGCTGGAGAATAAGAGAATAAAGTGACCCATTGAATATGGAGCAACTGTGAGATTCCCACATGTCAGTCAAGGCTTGACCTCCAAATGTCTGGCCCTAGGACTGAGGGAATTTATTTGACCTCTGAAATGAAGTTTGGTTTGTTAGAAAAAAAAATTAATCATGTGCTTTTTGAGGCATAAAAAGCCTGCTTATTTCTGTCAGATGAATTTACTCATCTAAAATCATCAGGGTTTCTCTTTGCAAATTCAATTCCCACTAAATCATACTAAATCATATGCCATATTTTTGAGTTTCATATACAGAATTCCACTTGTTGAATTAATGGCTATGCATAAAAATATGGTTCCTTTTCACTGACAGTACATTAACAAAAAAAGATCATTCAATCAACTTTCATGCCAATATTCATTTTTCAAGTTACTCAAGAGTAAATTGGATAAGATTCTGTTTACAGATTTACTTGCAAAAAAATTATTTTTCACGATATTGCTACAAATGTTTAAAAAAAATAAAGAGGATGTGGGAGACAGGATGAAGAGCTTGAACTTTAATTATATCTCTACAGAGCAAATTCTTGACAAGTATACTCCCTCACCAACTTGGTAAATATTTATTGTGGGTAAGATTGATACTGAGATGACAAAAAAGAATTCCTGCTCTCACATTAGCACATCAGCAGCAGGTCTGATGTAGGCATGCTTGAAACAAAAAACGTCTATTTTCATTTTCAAAAATAGTAAAATATGAGAAAATCTTGCATCACTAATTCAAATAAAATGACAAAATGAATATACACTTAAAGGAAATTTTCTCTTCTCTCCATCCTAAACTTTCCATCTTTTTTTTTTTCTATTCATACTTACAGGATTGGTATGTAATGGAAAAATGAAAAGACAGCAAACTATTTTGTTTGTACTATATTATCCTTCCACTGTTGAAGACTATTACCTTTTTGAGCTAGACCTTCTTGTTGGGACATAGGCTCCAAGAAACTCCTCAAAAAACTTATTTTTGGGAGTTTCCTGATTGCACATTCTGCTTGTTGTATAGGCTGCTAATAATTGCAGTACAATTTCGAGATTCCACTGGGGCGGTCTCTACCTTAATTCTGCTTTTCTTGTGAGGCCCAAGCCCCCCTCATGCAGCTGTGGTGGAGATAGAAAAATATAGTACATAATAGAGCTGATGATTAAAGATGGTGGACCACTGAGCCTACTATATCTTCTCAGAGGAGCACCAGGAAGCCCGCAAAGAGGAAAGGGCTGCCCTGACTTATTCAGTTGTCCAGAAACAGAGAGCTATCTGGCAGGCCGCAGCAGTGTCAGCAGCCTGCCCAGAAACTATTAGGCCCTGTGATGAGTGCCAGTTAGAGCACCCAAGAACCACACCATCACTCAATCCCTCAGTCTGCATTCCTGTTATAACACCTACGGCTACTGTACTTTCAGAAATTCAACTTTCAAATATGTTTTAGGATCACGTCACGTGCATACAAGTGGAACAGCTTACATTCAAATTGGGACAGTATTATATTACCAGTATTTTTAATCCACTAAATTTATAGAAGGACAATAAAGCATGTTAATATTAATTTTATTACTTTACCACCAAGGTCACTTTAAGCATCACACACAATGCACATATAATGAATGGTAGAATAGGTAATAATCCAAAATTCTAATCCCCCAAGATTATTTGCCACTATACATTTCTGTATCAATTACTGTATTCCAAAAAAAAAAAAAAAAAAAAAGGAAGAGCTTAAAAATATCTTTCTCTACATGTTCTGACTCTATCCTAACATCTGCATTAAGGTCATATTTAAAGGAGGCCAAGATATAATTTAATTTTTTAACAATATTCTCTCCCCCTTGACAAGTATCTCAGTTTAGAAATTACACACAGCCATTAGACTATTAGGACACTTGTTCTACTAGAAATACGGCTACTATATCAATGGGCACAAGGCAAAATTTAGCAGGACGAGTAAATAATATAAGTAATTTATATAAATAATATAGTGAATTAAAAGGTTTAGATGAACTTTATTATCTACATTGTCTGTTAGATGTTTAATTATATTTGTTATCAGATACGTCATCTAATACCTAGGGTCAAAATCCAAGACATCTTTTGAAAGGAGAAAAAAAATTACACTTTAAAACCCTTTAGATTGAAATCTATTTGCAGAATTTCCAGAAATTAGAAAACATGGCTTCAAGTCGTAATCTTTCTAAAGCTGTGTTTCCTTGCCTGGCCAGTAGTTGGGTTGTAGCAAATGATCACCTGTAGTACAGTTTTCCTTCCTGATTGTTGTAGACACCATTGTTCCTTCTCTCTTGGTTCTGAAGCTTCTATGTTTTGAAACACAATTTTTCTTTAAAGTGAAAAGTACTGCAATACTTAGGAAAATAGACACTGTGCCCAGCATCACAGTTAGTCCCAGATATATGTGTCTAAAAGAAGAGAGATGCTCAATCACAATTATTGCAACTATCCAACTTTAAAGTGTGAAAGGAAGGCAACGTTAATCAATAAATATCATGTCAATAAAACCGATCTACCAATGAAACCATCATGAGGATGATTTTCCTTAAGAATGCAGATTCAGTGGCTATAAAAGAGCTTTCTGTGAACATTGGGCAGACTACTGAAGACAGTGTACTAATATAAAGCCATCTCTTAGTGATGCCATAATTTTAGTTACTACTAATTACATAATCAGTTCCATCCTCTCTGTAAATTATTTCCTTAAACCAGGTGACCATATGCCTATTTGTCCAGAACAGTCCTAGCTTATGCTGGTGTTATCCCAGTGTACTTTTTAATAGTGCCCCTTTCACTCTCAAAAGTGTCCAGGTTGAATAATAAATTATGTGGTTACCCTACCCTTGAAACTTGCCCAGATGCACTTCTACAAAAAAAAAAAAAAAAAAAAAAAAAAAAAAAAAAAAAAAGGAGCAATGTTAAGGGAGAATCAGAGCTCTTAGTAGAGCAGAATGAGGTTTGATTCACTTTCTTCAATAAGAAGACTTTAGTTCTTCATTCTATCATAAAACAGGACAGGTTAAATGATTTATTCTGGTCACCTTGTACACATACTCAGTCTCTGATTGAAATACATTGTCTTTATGTTAAAGTGAATGCAGCCTTAGCAAATGTGAGCAAAGCATGAATTCTACTCACAGATCAAGTCCCTTTCAAACCAAAATAAATTTCTCACATAACATCAAAGCCTATTAAATCAAACAAACTTATTTAAGATGGTTGGCTCAATTCACATCCAACTTCCAACTTACACAGTTCAGTACCAAGTTTATTTCTCCAGAAAATGCTCAGATTGTAAATCTAAAAAAAAAAAAAAAAAAAATCCTTCCTGCTTTTAAGCCATTGAAGCATTGCTTTAAGCAATAAGGGGACTAAGTGTTGGATGAACTGAACTGAATGATACCATAGTGAAAAAGCCATGCCCCTCAGCTCTATACACACTCATACACACAGAAAAAACCTTTTACTTTTATGCATCTCAAGTACTGGAATAATTGAACATCAGTTTGGCAATAAAAGCTAGACAGATTTAGAGCCAAATCCAACTCTTGCCCAGGGGGATTATATCTGACGTAAATGGGACAGTTTGGCTCAGTTTAAAAAAGAATAGAATTGAACCCAAAATGTGACCTAAATTTAAATGCTTCTGAGCTCCAGAGAATTACCCACTTGTGCGCATAAAGTTGCCAAATTCTATTGTATTCTGGAATCTTTTGTGAATTTAAAAAAAAATGATTACTCATTTAAGATGGGAGTCGAGATTAGGAATGGGGACAAATACAGGTCTAGCCAAGTGAATAATAAAATTATTCTATAAAATAGAACACACCTCTTAGTTACATTATCATTCCGCAGTGAAACTACATAAGGAATGTTTACTGCCAATTTCATTGTGCAAAGTAGCAGTGAGATGCAGGAATGAGGATGATACGGTACCTGAAAGCATTTGAATCATATAATCTACAGGATCCTCTACTTCCACATCTTTTAAATCCCCATTTGAGGCATGAAGTGTCAATCAAAATTCCAAAATACACGGGAGCTGGGATTCCTGCTGTGTGGAAAACAAATAATTGCTTCTAAAAATATACACACATCTTTGTAATGAATGAGTCTCTGGAACCAATTACTTTCAAACTAAAAAAATACTGCTTTGGAGGTAATAGGGTACCTATAGGAGACCGGGATATGCCACCTCATCATCTTCCTCTGGCATAAAGGTTATTTTGAGAAACAGAAGGCACAGGAGAAGCCCTGAAGATAGAACGCAAGAGAAATCTCCATTTGTAAGAGGGTCCCCTTCTCTGTACCAAGGAGAGAAGGATGATTCTTAATTCCAAGAGGCTTTTAGCAAAGGAGAAGGCGTACAGCTAAATCTCCATAACAGGGGCACCTGGGTGGCTTGGTCGGTTAAGCGTCCGACTTCGGCTCAGGTCATGACCTCACGGTCTGTGAGTTCGAGCCCCGCGTGGGGCTCTGTGCTGACAGCTCAGAGCCTGGAGCCTGTTTCAGATTCTGTGTCTCCCTCTCTCTCTGCCCTCCCCTGTTCATGCTCTGTCTCTCTCTGTCTCAAAAATAAATAAATGTTAAAAAAAAATTAAAATCAATCAATCAATCAATCTCCATAACAAACCTAACCCCTGTGTACCTTACTTTTCCTGGTCATCTTCCCATTACTTAAGAATGGGTTTTACTATTTTATGCTTTTATCACCCTTCTATTGGGCTGAAAATACTGATTCTAATTATATTAACATCTCATCTGTTTTATCTAAAAATATGTAATAGTTGAACATAACAATACCAATGTTAATATTAAAGATAAGACTGCAAAAATGTAGTGGGGCTATGTGGATTTGGTAATGATCATGTCCTTTTAAGTCTAAATGTTTTTCTTTATGGTTATGCCCTCTTATATGATATACAGCTAGTTTCAGTTTGTTTGAAAAATGTCTTAGTTTCTTTCCATTGTTTTTTAATTATAGAAAACCTTTGCATAATTTCAAATTAAAACATAAAGAAGAGTTACATTTACAAACTGTACTTTCCATCCTGTCCTCTCTTTTTCCCTTTCTTCCCTTACAGTCACCACCACCACCATCATCATCATCATGTTTTTAGTTTATACTTCCTTTGTTTCTTTTTTTAAATATTAGCAAATACATTTGCATATGCATATAATATTTCCACTTTTCCATACTTCTTACACCAAATGCATCATACAACGAACATTGTTCAACATTTTACTTCATTTCACTTAAGAGTCTATCCTGGGTATCCTTTGGTATATAGACTATTATGTCCCTCCAAAATTCAGATGTTGAAGCCCTACCCTTAATATGACTGCACTTGGGGATAGAGTTATTAGGCAGATAATTAAGGTTAAATGAAGCCATAAGAGTAGGGACTTAATTCAGTAGGACTGGTGTTCTAATCAGAAGAGGAAAAGATACCAAAGCTCTCCCCCTCTCTCCATGTGTACACAGACTAAGATGCTTGTGAGGACACCGTGAGAAGGCAGCTGATTATAAACCAGGAAAAGAGGTCTCAAAGATCTCACCAAAGACCAGGCCTGTGGGCACCTTCATTTTGGACTTCCCAGCCTTCAGAACCGTGGGAAAATAAATTTCTGTTGTTTAAGTCCTTCGGTCTGTCGTATTCTGTCATGGCAGTTAGAACTGACTAATCTACTTGTTAACATTAGACAGAGATTTTTTTCCCCATTCTTCCTCACAGCTCCATAGGATTCCATTATATGGGTTCACTATACTTTATTTAAATATCTCATATTGATGGACAACTAGACTGCTATTTTGTGTTTTGCTATTACACATAATGCCACAATGAGACATTCATAACCTTTGACTTATTTCATAGTTTTGCTAGCATATTTTTGGCATCAATGACTACAAGTGGGATTGCTAGGTCAAAAGATATATCTATATGTAATTTTGTTAGTTATTGCCACATAACCCTCCATTGAGTGTTGAGACCATTGAGAAATGGTACCATGTGCTCAAAAGTAATGTTTAAGTGTACCTATTTTCCCATACATTGCAAACAACATTTGGTAATTTGCAAATCTGATAAGCAAAAAATATTATATCAGTGCAATTTCAATTTGTGCTCTCCTTATTATGGGAGAGTTTGACATTTTTTTATATATGAGGCATTTACATTTTTTTCTATGAAATGGCTATTCATATCTTCTACCCATTTTTCAACTTGCGTGTTGGTCCTTTTGTTCTTAACACCTAGAGGCTCTCTTTATCACAGAGATTTTATTAATTTTTTGTTACATAAATTGCAAAAAAAAATATTTCCAGTTTATCATTTGCCTTTTGACTTTGCTTATGATATTTTTGCCATTTTCAAGTACAGTAAAAACTTGGATTGAGAGCAACTTGTCCTGCGAGTGTTCTGCAAGATGAACAAACATTTGTAATAAATTTTAACTTGATAAATGAGCAATGTCTTGCAATCTGAGTAGTATGTGATGCCAAACATCACATGATCACAACTGAGCCAATGATTCTTGAAATTCGCTTTGATATACAAATGCTTTGGATTACAAGCATGTTTCTGGAACGAATTATGCTCTCAAACCAAGGTTTTACTGAATATATTTTTATGAAATCAGTTTTATGAATCATTTCTTTTTTTATACTTTATTTTTATTTATTTATTTTTTAAGTAGACTCCATGCCCAACATGGCATTTGAACTCATGACCCTGAGATCAAGAGCCACATGCTCTACTTAGCCAGCCAGTAGAAATCTTTTGCACAGTGTAGGTTACATTACATTTCCAAAGGGAGGTAGATATAGAAACCAATTCCAGCTAGGGACATACTTCAGGCTCAATAATCTGACATTTTTCAAGGTAATCTTTGTTTTTAGGTCATAGAATTAAAGCCAGCCATGATGGCATCTTCATATTGCAGCCATACTGCATCTTCATATATACCCATTTCATATCAAGATCTATTTATTTTCAGATTTTTTAAAGATCTGAGTTTATTTTTCTCTCTAGTATTTCTTTTCTGTTAAATTACAGAGGAATATTTATGATTGTTTCACTTTCTTCTTTAGAATATAAACTTTGTACAGATAGAAAATTTATCTGACTCATTAACTCTATTTTCTATGGACTTTAACTTAAATGCATATTGAAAAATCTTCTAGCTAGTAAAAAACATTCCAATTACATTTAGAAAATTGTAACTCAAAGCCATAGTTTTTTGATTGCATGAATGAACTGATATTTCTAACAAATGATACATCCTAGCATTGAGAGTAGCTCAAAAGAATTCCTTCAATTTTAATAACTGAAAAAAAAATATATTAAAGCTTCAGCCTTTCTTACTGATTCATATCTTCCTTTATTCTCAGAGGGCTTTTTTATAATAAGAATAAACTTTTTGACAATAGACCAATGCTGGAAGAGACAAGATTATTAAACGAAAAATGTCACTAATTTCACAAAATCCCTTTATTATACCATGGGCAGAGCATTGGCTCTCAAGAAATATTTACAGAACAAAGGATGGGAGAGAATAAAGGAAGGAAGGAAGGAAGGAAGGAAGGAAGGAAGGAAGGAAGGAAGGAAAAATGATATGCATCTAACCACCTATATTATATAGTTATGCATGATAATTCTATAAAAATACATAGAGAGGTATTCAAAATACATTTATCATGGCTATCATAATTAAAACATAAATTATACTTACCAAGAACTCTTATTGCCAAGGTGTAGATTCCCAGGGCAAAAGACTTAAGTTGTGGCTTAATGCACCTAAAAACAACAAAAGCACTATAAAAAAAATATAGTGAAGAACAATTCTGGTCTGAGAATTCTGGGGCAATGCTTTCTAAATCATGCTCCCATTTGAAAACACAATTATTCAGGTTCTCCTTAAGCCCTTTTGTGAAGAACATATTTGTGGATGTCAGGTTCTATTTTTTATCTTTCCTAATCAATTTCTATAATATACTGTGGGAAATTAAAGATGTATATAATACTTTTGATTAAGTTAATTTTAGAATAATATAATATTCATCCTTTAATATTATGACTTAGTTTAAAAATCACCTAATCCATCTCATAAGATTGGTTTCCAATAAATTTGATGTTTTATGTTTAACAATTTTATCAATATTTGTAATATTTTTAGGTTATTTTGATTAATTGTATAATAGTAATATTTGCAAGGCTAATTTCATAATAAAAAATTTATCAATGACCATACTAGTTATGAAACTAGTATTTTAAAGTTTGAATTTATACACTTTTTTAACAGAGCTCTATGATAGGAGAATCAATAAAAAATATTCAAAAATAAATTGTATTACAACAGATGAGAAGCCTGTAGGGAAGTTGAATGAAGATATAAGCACAAGGAGAAGAAATATGTAAGATATTTACTGTAAAAGATTTTTTGTATAATTTAAAGTTAGATGATATTAGTTATCTAATCTTTTTTCTAGATTCTCACTAATTACATTTAAAAGAGTGATCTACATTGAAATCATCATATTTTTGGGGGTGCATGGGTGACTCAGTTGGTTAAGTGTCTAACTTCTGATTTGGGCAAGGTCATGATCTCATCGTTCATGAGATGGAGACCCTTACTGGGCTCTGTGCTGACAGCGTGAAGCCTGCTTGGGTTCTCTGCCTCTCTCTCTGACCCTCCCTCACTAGTGTTCTCTCTCAAAATAAGTATACTTTAAGATAAAATAAATAAAATAATTATATTTGTAAATGTAAATATTTATAATATACTAGAAATCAATACTTAATTATATTAAACTTATGATAAATTTTTAGATGTCCACTTAATGTGCAAAAGTGGTGCACAGTTTTAAAAATTATTTTAGTGGGGCGCCTGGGTGGCTCAGTCGGTTAAGCGGCCGACTTCGGCTCAGGTCATGATCTCGCGGTCCGTGAGTTTGAGCCCCGCGTCGGGCTCTGTGCTGACAGCTCAGAGCCTGGAGCCTGTTTCGGATTCTGTGTCTCCCTCTCTCTGACCCTTCCCCGTTCATGCTCTGTCTCTCTCTGTCTCAAAAATAAATAAACGTTAAAAAAAATTAAAAAAAAATTATTTTAGTGTTTTATAAGCAAAAACCCTTGGGGTCATTAACATATATTCATGAATTAGAGAAAATTGATTAAAAAATCATGAACACCTCCTCCCCCCACACACAGATAATTCCAGTCAGAACAAGAAAAATAACCTTACAGATTAAAATAATAAATGTGAAACACTGTGGTATTAAATGAATCTTTAAAGTATTTAAAAATTTTATCACCAATAATTCAGTGAAACCATGTTTAATCTAAAACAGGTTTAGTTTAGGGGCACCTGGTTGGCTTCGTTGGTAAAGCATGCAACTCTTGATCTCAGGGTTGTAAGTTCGAGCCCCACAATTGGGTAAAGAGATTACTTAAAAATAAAATCTTAAACACACATACACACAGACACACACACACACTTGGTCTACACTGGTTAATATTACTGCCACCATTAGAAATAGCATACTGTTTTTAAGTAGCTACAGTGATGTAGGCACTGACATCGCTCTGATCTGAAAAATTGATCTGAAAAATTTTAACTAGAAAAACTTCAACCATATATTTACATAAAAGCCCAAAGTGGGAAAAGGATAAAACTAGAACAAGGATGTGGGACAAGTTCCCTAAAAGAGCTATAAGGAATCATAATTCCATAGATCAGAATTTGAAATCAATCCTCTAGATGATTATAGTATTATATTAAAATTGGGGCGGGGGGGCGCCTGGGTGGCGCAGTCAGTTAAGCGTCCGACTTCAGCCAGGTCACGATCTCGCGGTCTGTGAGTTCGAGCCCCGCGTCAGGCTCTGGGCTGATGGCTCAGAGCCTGGAGCCTGTTTCTGATTCTGTGTCTCCCTCTCTCTCTGCCCCTCCCCCGTTCATGCTCTGTCTCTCTCTGTCCCAAAAATAAATAAACGTTGAAGAAAAAAAAATTAAAATTGGGGCAGGGAAATTAGTGTTCACCTTAGAAGCAATATGTATCCAGGTATGCCACCTAGGGATAAAGTATAGGATGTGATGACTGAAATTACAAGGAAATACAGAAACATTTTGGGACATCCATTATCTTTTTGACACCTGCCCATCACGCCTGAGGAATTTCCTGACTTTGAAGCTGCAATTCCCACACAGGTGCAGTTATAAAACATCTGTAACACAACAGAAAAGAGTCCCAGTTATTGAGTTAACATTTGAATAAAGTTGAAGATAAGTATCCATTTTAAAAGACCTCACAGTATAATATATATGTATTATATAAACAATAAGGTAAATATTCTTTTACTTCTTGGTGTTAGAGTATATCAAGCAAAGTAAAATCTATATAGATAACTTTTTTTTTTTTTTTTAATCCAAACAGAAGGTGGTTGGTCTTCAAACTAGTGACATCACAGAACAATCTCTCAGTAAGTCCTAGTAAATCCAATCATACCTTATCTCTTTCTCTGCCACTTCCAAGTCTAGGCCACCATTATTTCTTGTCTTGGTTATTGCAATGATCTCTTTACACTCAACTTACATCCACTCTTATCCAGCTATCATCTGTTACCCACATAGTAACCAAAGTGAGCCTTTAAAAATGGCAGTCACTATTCTCAGCTTTCCAATAGCTTCTCATCACACTTGTTGTATAAAATCCAAAATCATAGTGGCTTACACACTATCATGGATTCTGCTCTAACCTCACTCTTCAATGATCTTCCCCCTCTTCCTCTGTTTCAGCCACACAAATGGGCTTCCACTGTGTCCTTGCAAACCCTCAACCATGGCAAGTTTACCCACGTCTCATAGCCTTGCTGTTTTCTCTGCTGGGAAGCTTTGCCAGATAGCTATAAGGTTGGCACACATACCTCAGGTCTCTGCTCATTAGAGAGGGCTTCCATGACTACCCATTCAAAAGACTATCCCCATCTCTCCATCCTTTATTCTATCTTTTCTTTACAGTGCTTATCACTACCCATTAGAATATTATATAATCATTTATTTTTAAATCATATACCCCCACTAGAATGAAACCTCTGGCAGAAATTGTCTGCTTTCTCATCATGGTACATGTACACTGTACGTGAGGACCTAAAACGGGTCCTCAGGCACTCAATAAAACTTTGTTAAATAAATGGGCACAATTTGAAGACAGGACTTTATAATGGTTACCAGGGGGGAAAAACCTGAAAAAATAAACCTCAACTAAATCTTGGACATAAAGGCAACTTTTATAATCCCTATTAGTTTATTTTTGTAAATTTCATGTATAAATGTGTATATATTATGAGTTGTCACTTTTATCACAAAAGAGTTTGTGATGGGGCGCCTGGGTGGCTCAGTCGGTTGAGCGTCCGACTTCAGCTCAGGTTATGATCTCATAGTTCGTGGGTTCGAGCCCCATGATCGGCTCTGTGCTGACAGCTCAGAGCCTGGAGCCTGCTTCGGATTCTGTGTCTCCCTCCCTCTCTGCCCCTCCCCTGATCATTCTCTCTCTCTCTACCTCTCTCTCTCTCTCAAAAAATAAACATTAAAAATTAAAAAACAAAAAACAAAAGAGTTTGTGAATTTTTAGATAAACAATGAAATAAAGTTGGCTTTTCCTTTTCAAGGAAGAGTAGCAACATTGAATTTTTTTTTTTTTTTAATGCCAGGTAAAAGGCTTCTGAACTTTGACTCTGCTTCATACAAGATATGCGAGTTTAGGCATCTCAGTGCCTCAGTTCTCACATATGGAAAAAAAAGTAAAGTAATACCCAATTACTTGAAGACCATGATATTTAAATCCATTTTTTTAAGCACCTTTCTTAGTTTCTGGCATGAATGCCTTCAATAAGTGGAAGTTCTAGTCAAGGAAAACTTCCAAGCAGTTTGGACAAAAAAGTAGTAGCTGAAAGACAAGAAGGAGGAGGAGGATGGGAAAGAGAGAAAGAGAAGAAAGAAAGAATGAAAGAAAGGAAGAAAAGGGAGAAAGGGGGAGGGAGAGAGAGAGAAAGAGAGAGAGAGAGAGAGAGGAAGGGAGGGAGGGAGAAAGGAGAGAGGGAAGGGAAGAGGAAGTAAAAAAACGCTCAGATTTCAGATGGATAAGTAGTCCTATTTACTGTTGCTAGAGGCCAATCCTTCATGTTCTGAATAAAATGTCAAAATAACAATAAACAGAGAAAATCAACATGTTACTCTGTGCCTACAGATGTCTTTGCCTAAGCATTCTTATCTAGTTGATAAGCATATGCAAATAGACATGTGGGTTAATTTTCAGCCCTCCAGGACTGTCAAATACAGGCAGATTTCATCAGCACAAGTAGACAGCAGTCTGACCCCTAGCCATATATACAGAGAGTACATGTTTGTACTAAGGAAGAGTCTATGTTTGGGGCAGAAACATAAAGGTGTGATTGGAAAAAGAGTCTTAATGCTTTAAGTACTTAATATCCTTCACAACTGATTTCTTATATTTATTTCCAACCTCAACTCCCTCATCCGTCTTATAGAACCCCTTCATTCGAGCCCCCTACTCTCTTCATTATTACACACATCAGCTTGATTTCTCAGGCAGAGTGTTTGGAATCATCAATCTCCTCAATTTGTGATCCCTGGATTTAGACCTCTTGGACTAGACTTTCTAACACTGACCTCTATTTGTCCTCTCCCTAAAACCTCCAAGGACCACTGGTTTTGAGGTCAGGAAACATGGATCCCAATGCAGACCTTATCATATGATCTGATGACCAAGACTTTCTCATTTGAGGCTAAGATTCCTCATAAGCAAAATGAGAGAACTAGCCTACATCATTGCAAGGCTCTTCCAACATGTTTCACGATTCTAATTCTTATCCTAATTCTTTCAACAACTCTAGTCCACTAGCAACGGTGATGTTTCCTGTCTCCATACAAAAGAACAAGGGTAGAGTAAGAGCCAGGTCTGCTATAAGTGTAGTCTGCTTCTGGGTTTGTCCCTGAGCCCCTGCAGAGCTGTGTGGTTATGTATTGTCGCAGGCATCACAAGCACACACATTAGGGTTTTCTTACCATAGTTTGTCCATTCCTGGTGGAGGTCTGACAGCCAGCGAGACATGCCGATGCATATGTGATTCCATTGTCGCCACACACAGGTTCCCATTTTGTCTCTGAACATTTGCATCTTGAGTTGCAATCTGAAAAGAGAGCTCGTTCATGATAAGAGACAGGTTTGGTTCTGAAAAGAAATGTAACAGTATAAAATATTACCTCTTAAGCAGGCAGCACCCTAATATTTTCAAAAATCAATGTTCTTGAATGATATAAATGGCACTGCCAACAGAGTTTGCCTTTTGGAAACACAACTGTCATCGGAAATGCCAGCTTCTGATGATTAGATGTGAGTCTACTTTTAAGCAGCTTTCTCTTGAAAGTTATCTTTAGAAGTTTACAACTTCACATAATATCCAGTTCCGGGTTTATGGTTTTTACTAAAATTGACAGTGTCTAGGACCTTCTCATATATTCCTATGCAAAGATGTAGGAAGATGGCTAACAAGGCAGAAAAGAAATAAACTTCTAGAGTGATTTATGACATTACTGAAATGCACTGCAAGTAGTGTATGCATGTACATGCGTGCATGTGTGTAAATTTCCTTCAGAATTGTTGTCTAAGCATCAGTAGAATGGACATTGCTGATAGTGTGGTGAAAGAAAAAAAAACAATCAAGCAGTCAACATTATTTCAACAGACCTTGGTTTGGAGAGCTACATATCCTATTTGTCTGTCTAATAAATGTATTGCCAGTTCATCTAACTTTACTCTCTTTTTCTCTTTCATAATCTCCCACACTACGTAGCTCATCCATATCTTAAGGCATTCTTTCTAACTCTCTTGCACATGCTTTTTCAATGACTTACCCATTCATTTGTTCATGTGTTCAAAAATTTTGTGGAAGCCTTCTAAGTGCTAGCTTGGGGAAGAGAGAAGAGAGTTACAAATATGAATGAGAATATATGCCCTTAAGGAGCTGGCTTTTTGTTTTAATCGCTCCCTTTACATAATTTTGATTGTCTTCTCTCTTTTCTCTCCCTCTCTGTCATTCTGTCTTACCTTCCCCTTTTAACTCTCCCAGTATTCCTTCTCTTTCACATCTATTTCTTCCTCTCACCTGAATTACCTAACCCTTCTACTCTTATTCTCCTTGCTCTTTTCATATTCCTTTATTCTTCTGAGGGGGTACTTATGCAATGGTATTTCTCTTCTACCTGTACCTTATTTTTCATCCCTTGGCACTCCATCATTCTTTGCTTTTTCTCTCTTGTTTTGAATCTATTTATTTGCTTATTCTCCTCTCATTTTTTCCCTGAAGTATTTCAGAGACTTAAAACCAAAAAAAACAACAACAAAAACCCCACATACACTATCATGTATACTGAGTGGGGGCAGGAACTGTTTGTTTCTATTAATTCCTGTATCTCCAGCACTAAGAACAATTTGGGATATATTCTGTTAAGAAACCAGATTTCTGGTAAGTCGAAGTAAAATGCTATTCTATTTTGGAGGGGAAAAATCAGTCATTTTGGCCCCTCCTTCTAAGAGGTATTTCATATAATGATTGCAATTATAATTTCGTAACTGATGGAATATTCCATCTGGTAGAACTCCTATGCATGTGGTTACCTCAAACATAAAAACGAAAGCCTCTGAGATGTCTTCGGACAGAATAAAAGGGTATAAACAGGCTTCCTGAGAAATCTTGTAGGAATATTTCAACCATTCTCTTCCATAAGGCGCTAATCGTTAAATTAATTGAGACTGTTGGTAGTATCTAACAGTATAAATAAATGCCTTGAAATCTTAGAATCAGGCCACTATGGATATTGTAGGACTAAGGTCTCAGAAGTCTGGTGCTGAAAGAGTTTTGGGGGAGATCTAGGTCAACTTCTCATTTGGTAGATCAGGAAAGTCAGGTCCAAAGTGGGCAGATTATTGGCTCGATTTCACAATGTTTATTAGTGACAAACTTCAAAATGAGAACTCTTCCAAGCCTCTGGATTCCAAATTCTGGTATAACATCAAACTTACTCTCAATATTACAGAAGAAAAGTTTCTTCCATTACCACATCTAAAGCTGTCTACAAGGTTCCTGTTGAGTGTCCAGAATCAAAACAGCCTTGTGGAACAAAGCAACTGAGGATAATCCCTGGGGAGCATGTTGTATCTTATAAGGCCAATCATGTTATCTACTAAACGTAAGTTACATTTATCATCTAGGACAATCTTGTAGTGGAAATTAGTTGCATATTTTACAAAGGATGTGCTTACAGTGTTGTTATTTAAAATTTTAAGATAAGTTTAATCAAATAAGTCAGAATGCTTATACTCGAATGAGATTTTTCTTTCAAAATAGTCATGCTGGTTGGAAGAGCTTTTTCATGGTACGCTGCCATTGCTTTTGGCAGCTTCCAATAGCAAAGCTACTTGTAAGGTTAAATCTTTGCCATTACTGAGAATATTCTGAAATATATGGAAAGCAATTGCAAAAGAGGAGTTTTAGAATGTTTTAACAATGATAGCATTATTGCAATGTAGTTATTGTCTTTCAAGGTGACTGCTTTCAAGGGCTAGTACTCATGCAATGAATATATTATCTTTTCTTTGTTTAAAAATATTTAATCATTTATTTTGTGGGTATACTTTTAATTTGAACTTCAAAAGTTAGTGACTGTTTATGTGTTTGCTTCTGGCTTCAAGACAGCATGATGCGGTAGACAGAATATTATATGTTGACGAGATAATTGACCTTTCTAAACACATTTTCCTTTAAACGAGGATAACAAAACTTACCTCATAAAGATGCTCTGAGGATACAAGTGAGATAATGAAAGTTATGCTGTTTTGTAAATTGCAAAATACAAAGTACTTTACCACTGTCCATCTACCATTAGGATTATAGGGACAGTTAAAGATAACACAGAGCTTCTACTCTCTTTATAATCTTCTTGCAATTCCTATTGATAATTAATGTCCTTAATCTACATTGCTGACTATTACCAAGTCAATGCTACACTCAGTTAAGTCTAACATTACTGCGGTAACTCCCAGGAGCAATGGTATATAAACTTGGCAGTCACTAATTTTCCTGGACATTTTAGATGGTGAAAAGTGTACTTGATGTTTACTTAACAGCAGGAGAAACCAGGTTAATGAAGGTGCTGGAGACTGGAATATGGAAACAAGACAGATAGGTGAGCTTGGAAGGAGGTATAGGAAGAAAGCTGGAGAGCAAGCAGTAAATAAGAGGCACCTGAACTAGCAGAAGACAGAACATTAGATCAGCAGAGTTTCAGGCAGTCAGGCAGTGCAGTCACAGTGATAGGCTTGGCACATAGTAGCGGCTTAATAACTTTTTTTTTTACTAGAAAATGCATAATTAGGTGGAAGAATGAAGAGAGCTACCTCTGGGAACTCATGTTCAGAGGCAGAGAGAGATCAAGGACTCTTGAAAGGAAAAGACAGAGTAGTTTCTTCAAGATCCAGCTTTGTATTAGGAGTGATAGACCCTGGAAACTAAGAAAATTAATCATCTACCTTACATAAGATGGCATAGGTTTGAGAGCATAATAAATATTCCCTTGACCAACTGCAAAGAGCTAAAGAGAGCTGTTGTGTGGGTTACTGGGCTGAGGAATAGCATTCCTTCCTGAAACTTCACATGATTTGAGTATAACAGAGAGAACAAAAAGTGTCACAGAGACCTTTCCAGTTATCCAAGTGTTCAAAGAAAAAAAAAATTGTTCACAAATGGCGCACTGATTTTGTGCCAGGCAAGTACTAATCACTTCCGTGTATATTATCTTGCTTAAGGCTTACAAAATTTTATAAGGTAGCTATAATTCTTATTTAAAAATTTGAGACTTGATTAGATTAAATGATCTATACAATGTCACTTCACTAATAATGGGCAGAGGCAAAATTCAAGGTCTGTATTTTCCACTATTAGGTTGCTTCCCTAAAGTAAGATGTAGATTTAGTATTTTCAATAATTTCTCTTTGACAACCAAATTCAAAGGAGATGACAGATTTTGGTGACAATAACAGTTTCCATGTCAAAGTACAGTCAGCTATTTCACAATAAAACAATAATTTCCTTCTCATAGTTAGGATGCTTAAAATCAAATTATCTTATTTTGAAATTCTATCAATAACTTGATTAAACAAGCCAATGTCCTCAGATAACTTAATGAGTGAACATACCCTTGGTAGGAAATAGTTAGTCCTGCCACATCAGAATTTTCACAGCCCAGTGCAAACAGGGAAAGGAATAGGAGGTACCCAAGAACAGATGATCCCAAGTAGAGTTTTGCAGCTCCATACAGACTGATTCTGAATTTTTTCATAACTATTCCCCCAGAGAATATTCCAAGGGCCACTGCAGGTATATTGATGAGCCCTGAGGAATAAAAAATATATATGTCATTTTGTGAATCTCTAAAAGAAATCTGAGTACACTGACATAAACTTTCTAAGGGATTATACAAAATTATAATACTTCCTGACAAATTGTTAGACTAGTTGGTCACTTTAAGTTATAGAAATATTCATTCACTATTGTCTATTGACATATCAAGAGATTTTGATGAATGTCTAGGTTACAGATTAAGGATAGCCCAACAGAGTCTCAGAGGTCTGCCTAAAACAGTGTCTAGCACAGAGTCCAAAATCAACAAACAATGAGTTAGTCAATGAGTCAATGTCTTTCTGGTCTAATCCCAGGATTGACATGTTCAATCAAAGGGCAACTGGGTGAAGTTAATGTTCTTTAAGGTTATGTGTAAAAGACTAATAGGCATGTGGAATTTAGGGAACAAAGAAACAGTGTTCGTTCTTTTTTCTGGCCCAAACAAAATTTATTTTTATTAACACTCTTGTCTGCTTAGTCTGGTATCCTTAACAACCACCACAAAAAAACAACAATAACAATGTATTAATAGACTACTTTTATATTTATTATTTGCTTATGATGTACCAGTCACTCAGGTAAGCATCTGATATATCTCTCACATTTACCCTTTACCACAACCCTAGGTAGCTATATTGTTAATTTCACTTCAGACAGCAATTTACTTATGGTCATGGTTAGTAAGTGTTAAAACCAGATTTGACAAGATAGAATCTAATGTTAAATCCCCTGCTTTTAATCACTACGTTATACTGTCTTTAAGCATTTGGGAGACAGGATTCTTGATAAACAAATGTGCAGCCTCACTAGTAATCAAATAAATGTAATTTTAAAACAATACCAGGAAGAGGTCTAACAAAGTGGTTGAGAGCTTGGACTCTGGAGACCTAACCGGCTGGGTTTGGATCTCAGTCACACATCTTAATAGTTGTGCAACTGCAGGTGATACTCTGAATTTCTATAAATCTGTCTCCTTACCTATCATATGGAGCAAATAATAGTGCTGAGGTGACTGAATAACATCGAAACTTCCTAGCACAATATATGGCACAAAAATATCATTCAATTAAGTTATTATTAGCATTTCAAGCTATCAGATTCACAAAGATGAAAATACTGGGATGGGTGGGTAGATTGGAACATGTCTGTATTAGAAAAGGTGGGGAAAGAGGCTCTTTGATGACTTGGTTGGATTTTTAAATTGGAACGGTAACATTAATATGGTCACATTAGAAATCAACTCACCTCGAAGGGGGCATAATCACAAAATTAGTGAAATAAAAAAAAAGAGGAGGTGATAGTTTTTGCTTTCTCAACTAACCTGAGGTTTGTGGCTATGAAAAGTGGCAGAGATGAATGTATATGGGGCCCCTAAAGAGCCAAACATCAACTAAGAGGAACCTGATTATTATTTATTTTAAAAAAGAGAGAAGATAATGGGAGATAATATAACAAACTTGAGTTCTCATGACTCAAATTAAATGCTAATATTTTCTCCCAATTTTTCTGATTTTTAAATATGAAGATATATAAAACACATTCTTTCTCTGTTCCAGATTCCATCTTCCTTCTTAAGAACTAAGCACTGCCATGGATTTGATGTGTATCATTTAAGTCCCTACTTTTACACACACATATTCATAGTTCTTGACTTTGAATCACCCTCTCATAGATCCAAGACTTACAGAAAAAGGGCAGAGTCCACTCTCTCAATTCTATCCCTCCAAAAGTAGTTTATAAAAAAAATATATCTTCTGTAGACGCCTGGGTAGCTCAGTCCGGTAACCATCCGACTTGATTCTGGCTCAGGTCATGATCTCACGGTGAGATTGAGCCCATGTTGGGCTTCCCCTGCCAGTGCAGAGCCTACTTGGGATTCTCTCTCCTCTCTCTGCCTCTACCCCACCACTTGCATGTGCTCTGTCTCTCTAAAAGTAAATAAATAAACATTTTTTTAAAAATATCATCTGAAAAATAGACTCTAAATTGAGACCTTCAGAGAACGTGCTTAGAATTTCATTTGTTTTGTAAGGTACCAATCAAATCTGGGACATAAGGCATCACAGCACAAAGGACACCCTTTGTTTTGTAGCTTCATGCTCTGTTGGTTTCCACTGACTTTTCCCCACCCTGATCTGGCCTAGAAGAGCCTGAGAACCAAAATGGGATTATGCTAATTGCATTGTTCCCACAGTACAGAATGTTAAATATCAGGGATATCCTCTCTTGACTGACCTCCTTTAAGAGGCTTGTGTTCTCTTAAAACTTCCAGAAAGTTTTATGTGTTCTCTTGCCTCCAGGCCTTTCTTAAAGCGATATCTGCTTCATCTGATACAATGTTCTTTCAAAACCCCACCCCAGTTCCCATATTTTTGTCTTTTAACACCTCCTTATCCTTTTGCTCTTGATTTAGGTATTGGCACCTTGTGCTAGAGAATATTTTTCGAACTCCAAGATTAGGTTTGTTTTCCCAGAGTACTCTGGGCTTCTCCTCATTAGAGATTTATCACAGCATCCGCCAGCCATATGGTGCCTTCAGGGACGTATCTAGCATCAGGGTACTCAAGTTGATCATCAGAATCTCCTTTCCTCCCTCTGCCTGTGGCCCTTCTGCTGAGTCCCATAGGCAGCAGTCTTGATCCTTATCAACAATTACCTGTTAGCTTGCCTGGTTTGCACTCCTTCCCCTCCAATCTCACCTTCAAGGCAAGAACTGTGCTCACCATCATATACTGTGCTCCTTGTAATTTTCCTTAAAAAAGTGCCGAATGACAAACTTTAGTTAAGTTTATTCAAGTATAACATTTCTCCTGGATAGTTTACTCTATTTTAAGATAATGGAATTTTAACATCATTCTGTTAAATGGTAGTAGTACATTTCAAATATACTGTCAGCTTGATTCTCCCTTTCAAATTCCGTAGGATCTGTAAGCTATCTATGCTGGGCCAAGTTGAGTGTACAACAAATTTCCTGAACATTAAATGAAATGTGCTACTTGCCTCCCAAAGTTTCTTTACTTTGATTTCAGGCACTTTAAAGTCATTTAATGAGGTAGAAATTTCACTCTGATTTCTTCATTACACACTTTCCTCGCTATTCACACCATAAAATGTGTTGATCTTAAAACGTTTACCATCTAAATATTCCAAGTGGAAATATTAGTTGTAATTTACACTAGCATCCACAATTTGCTTCAATTTTTTATGCATTTATCTTGAATTTCATATATTTACTCAAATAACAGGAAAGCTAGGAGAAATTTAAGAGCAAATTTGTTACTGCTATTTCACTACACTCATTCATGTTGAAGACCTTATTCTTTGTGACTGTCCCAAACAAGAGTTATTAGACTTGTGTAAAATGCTTTAAGATGGTCAGCTACAGTTACAATATAAATTGGAAACTCTGATTCTCACACAAATATATGATAGGCTTAGCCATTAAGATGAATAGTAATGGGCTATAACAATAATAGTACTTTGGAATGTTTTAGAGCTTCTCTTCTGGTGAAGTAAAATTCTGTAATATGTAATGGACCTCACTATATTACTCTAATGTTAGAAGATATAAATATTAAGGTTTCAATTTTACAGGGGGAAATACAAGGAAAAATTTACGGGACTTTTCACACACATATAGCCAATTTAGTATAGACAAAGAAGCAAAAATAGCCATCTTTCTTGAGTAGAATAAAAGTATTTTTTCCTCACAAAGTAAGATTAGTTTCCATTATCTCACAGATTTTTAAAATAACTTGACCTACATATAGAACACATCTTAACACATATTTAATTTGCTATGCTAAATTAGCCACATAAATTAATATTTTCTAGTATAAGCAATGTTCCCCAAATAATTATCATAATTTTTTCATATTTGTCTGTGTAACATCTCCAAGAATTGAGAATGATAATCACTGTTATCAATGATAGTCAATGTCAATGCATCACGTCCACTAGAAACTGTCTGATTTAATTAAAAACTTTAAGAAATTAAGAAAAAGGACTCATTGCAATCTGTGTAATAAGAAAGAAAACAAAACATAAGATCATTTTCATATAACTCAACAGTGATAGGAGAAGCTTAAAAAAATAAAAGGAGAAAAATTACACTATCTAAACTTTTTCCAGTGGAGACAGCAATGGGAAAAAAAGTTACACATTTGAAAAAGCAACATTATTCTGTCATATACTTCCTAGTCCCTGAATTTGAAACATTTTGTTGCCTATTTTTCTTTGATTTTCTTTGCAAAATTAAAGTAGTTAACCTGAGAAAATATTATTTCTAAATTTTAAATATGGCCAATATGTAAAAACATGTATAGCAAAAATAAATCGTCATTGTAACAACTGGCCTTTGAACACATAGTAAAATTTCTGCTTATTATTTCCTCCATGTCATGTCAAATGCCTACTCTGAGAGGAGAGGGGAAATGTGCTTTCTTTGTGCTTTTCCCTGACTTTATCACACAAAGGATCATTCCTTGTAGCCTCCCCACCCCCTCACAAAATGAAAGAGAGAGAGAAATAGGATAGAAGAAGAGAAAGTGAAAAAACAATATTTACTGAATGACAGCTATGTACATTTACAATGTATTCTATATGTCTTATTTCACTGCTATTTTAAACTAATGATGCTTTTATTTTTACCATTCTACAGATAATCAAAGTAGGTGTTAAGGATGTCGACTAACTTACACACTGACCCTTAACTAATGTGAAACCAAAATGCACTCAGGAAAGAATCCTAGCTACGATGATTGAAATCATTAGACACTACGAAGACATCCGGATGGCCAACAGGCACATGAAAAGATGTTCAACGTCGCTCCTTATCAGGGAAATACAAATCAAAACCACACTCAGATATCACCTCACGCCAGTCAGAGTGGCCAAAATGAACAAATCAGGAGACTATAGATGCTGGAGAGGATGTGGAGAAACGGGAACCCTCTTGCACTGTTGGTGGGAATGCAAATTGGTGCAGCCGCTCTGGAAAGCAGTGTGGAGGTTCCTCAGAAAATTAAAAATAGACCTACCCTATGACCCAGCGATAGCACTGCTAGGAATTTATCCAAGGGACACAGGAGTACTGATGCATAGGGGCACTTGTACCCCAATGTTCATAGCAGCACTCTCAACAATAGCCAAATTATGGAAAGAGCCTAAATGTCCATCAACTGATGAATGGATAAAGAAATTGTGGTTTATATACACTATGGAATACTACGTGGCAATGAGAAAAAATGAAATATGGCCTTTTGTAGCAACGTGGATGGAACTGGAGAGTGTGATGCTAAGTGAAATAAGCCATTCAGAGAAAGACAGATACCATATGGTTTCACTCTTATGTGGATCCTGAGAAACTTGACAGGAACCCATGGGGGAGGGGAAGGGAAAAAAAAAAAAGAGGTTAGAGTGGGAGAGAGCCAAAGCATAAGAAACTGTTGAGAACTGAGAGCAAACTGAGGGTTGATGGGGGATGGGAGGGAGGAGAGGGTGGGTGATGGGTATTGAGGAGGGCACCTTTTGGGATGAGCACTGGGTGTTGTATGGAAACCAATTTGACAATAAATTTCATATATTAAAAAAAGAATCATTAGACACTATTACTTATTTCTCACAAAAGTACTTGAATTAGCTGAAGACATGATGTGCTAGAAACTATGAGGAATCAGAATTTTAGGCAAACTTTGATAGATGAATCAAAACATTCTGATGATGAGTTTGGATCTCAGAGACCATCTGAGTGTACAGAGAAGGGTTATGGTTAAAAGAAATAAGTCACCCAGAATTTAAAATAGAATTATTAGATTTTTTTGGTCAGTTTTCCAAAAATAATTATGTCCAGAGAGGAAATATAACTCAGAAACTCAGGGGAAATAATTCTATTCCTGGCTACATCATAATGTATGTATGCAGTTAGGCAGGCCATTGAATCTCTCAAAATTTCAAGTTCTTTCATCTGTGCTAGTTTTTCACAAAAATAATTTTATAAGCAAAAAGTATTTATTACCTACCCAGTAGATTGTGTATAATTTTGTTTTCTATTATAAACACATTTCTCAAAAAAAATGCTCTTAATTTTCCCTTATGAAATGTTTTTAAGTTGAAATAAAAATGTATTTATGATTCCACTGACAGCAAAATCAAATACCCTCAAACTCTGCTATGCACATGTTGAATAATAATAAACAAACATACACTTAAAGATGTGTCACTTCATTACAACTCATGGGGGAAAGATAGATTTTCCATTTGATATATCAACCTTGACCTTCTTTTTCACATTATACAAAAAAACCAAAACAAAAAAACAAACAAACAAACAAACAAAAAACAGGCTACTAGTAGAAATATTAACAAGGCATTTTCATGAAAACATATAGCACTAATGAGAAAGAAAAAGACTGGAAAGTAGACTTAACTAAAAGTAAGAAGCTCATCATTAGGAGAGTGAAAAGAAGAACTGAAGTCTGTGAGAAAATATTTATAATACATATATTCAATAACTTGTATCACAATTCGTGAACCTATATCAGAAAAAAAGTACCCACCCCTCTAAGTCTATAAGAAAAAAACTGACAGCTCAAGAAAAATAGACAATTTGAACATAATTAACAAAAGAGAATGTTGAAATGACCAACAAGCCTCCAGAAAAAGTGCTCAACATCATTAGTTATTGGTGAAATGCAAATAAACTACAATAAGATATCACCACACTGTATAAAAATGATTAAAATGACAAAGACTGACAATACTAAGTGTGATACGGATGTGGAGTGACTGGAACACTCTTACACTACTAGCATGACTATAAATCTGCACAACCCTACTGAAATGTTTTGGTTATATTTACTAGATCTAAACATGACCCAACAATTCTGCTCCAAGATACAACCAAGAAAAACATATGTATACACCCACCAAAATATATATAGGCATGCAGTGTTATTTTTAATTGTCAACAGCAAAAAAAAAAAAAAAAAAAAAAAAAAGACCCAAATGCCCACCAACCATAAAATGAATAAACTGTGGTATATTCATGTGATAGGATATGACACAGCAATGAAAAAGATCAAACAGGTATACACAACATGAATCTCATAGATTTCATTTCAGTCGAAATAAGCTAGATACAAAACAGTGCGTAACATACTATTACATTTAAATAAAGTTCAAAAACAGGTAAGACTGATCTATGATGGCAGAGTTCAGAATACTTATAAGCTTTAGGAAAGAGTACTCAGTAAAAGGAGGTTTGAGGGAGCTTCTGGGGTTCTGAAATGGGCTACATGTTCTAGTTTATGGTTACCATATAGATTTACATATAAACATTTATCCAGCTACACTACCCATTTAGGGGCTACAGTGTTAAATGTCGCTTGTATGTTATATCTCAACAAACATAAAGGAAATTTTAAAAATCAAATAAAAAGAATGTCTCTTAAACTTTCATTTCTCTTCTTTTTAAAGTCAGTATAAAGCACTGATTGACATGGAGGGGGGCAAAAAAACCTAAACTGTTTCCTCAGATCAACAATTAAATAATACGATTAACTTAATTCAAACCAATTCATGTTGAAAGCAAAAGTTCACTGGCATAGCTTTAATATTTATAATTTAACAGAATAGTCTAAACAGAGTCAATTAAATTAGCATCTGGATTAAATTATCCAGGATGGTTACAGGACAATTACATATTCTGAAATGAGCTCAGAGCTCTCTTTCAGAGATAGATACATAGAACAATTCCTGAAATATTTATGAAGAAGAAATGTTTTTAAATTTTTAGAGTCTCCTACCATAAAGGAATATATCCAATGGAATAAAATATATTTATGCCCTGAAACAGTAGCATTAAGTAACATCTTCATAGGCTAAAGGAGCTAATCTAGGTTTTAAAAGTATCCACAATTACTTGGAGCAGGACCTTCTTGTATTTGTAGATTGTTTCTTCTTCATTCATTTCTTCATGCTTTTCTTTGCCTCTGAATAGCTTTCTTATTCTTGACTGACCTGCTGTACTAAAACACGGCCCTTTTAAATAAGCTGAATGCCAGGACTCAGAATAGTCCTTTAACTCTGAGCAAATACAAACTTTGTTTTGCAATGAGTACCTTTTAAACTGTCTGAATACTCACTTTTTAAAGTCCTAGAAACTGTTCAGGTAAAGTGGCCACTGTTATGAAGTTTTGGCTATACTTGAAAGACACATATCCAGTATCACAACCTCCTAATAAAATGCATGTTTGGTTTATATAATATTCTCAAGGTCACTCATCTACAGTTGTGAATAATTCTTGCTAAAAGGTTATACCACAGACTATCTAAATATTTTTTCCCCACTGGATCTTTTTCCATTCTGCTAAATTTTTATTCACTCACCTTTTTAACTTTGTATCTAAAATGCCATAAATCACTTTCAGTCTAAATATGAGAACAGTGTTCTCTAAAATTGCTAACGGTTAACAAAGATGCAGCTGACAGTACCTACTGGCAAGCATGAAGGACAAGTGAGCATACCAATAACGAAGTTGGCCTTGGAGGCTGACTGCCCATACTGTTGCTCAATGTACTTGGGTTTATAGGTTACCATTCCAAACAAAGAGTTGAACTGAACAGTGCTCGCACACAAATATAACAAGTACAGTGGATTTCCAAAAATATTCTTTAGTGATGGAAGAAAATCTGTAAGACAAAAGTAACATGGAGAAATTAAAGTCAGTGTAACACCTGGCAGAAGACACAGCCTTGGCAGCAGGGCATAGACGGCCGAGCCCCACTGTCACAGCGATCAGGAACACGTACAGTGTGGGGCACACACACACTATGGGTTGTAAACACTGGCTCAAGTCAAGACTGAGATCTGTCAGGTTCACATCGAGACATAGGCACTCACTTCTACAGGCATATAGTTTAGATTACAGTTAGAGATATAAGTCAGATAGGAATAGATTCCTCTAACTGATATGGGTAAAAGGAAAGAGGGACGAGAATACTCCTTCACTCCAGAGCTGAAAGTCATTGGCAGGACATTAAGAACTTCAGTTTTCTGGTCCCTATTCTTCAAACTTGGGTCATGGTCACAGAGAAAGAAATATGCAAGTTACCTCCACTTAATTCAATGAACTTTAGTGTAAGAAATGAGCTTTGGCATTCCCCCTTCTTCCTATTATGCAGCCACATAGTTTGAAATGTGAAGATTTTCCATAAATGTAAATATTGCTTGCTGGGCCCAACTGAGAAGAACCAATCTTCCTCATGGCCAGCCACCCTTTTCCATGTGGAAGGAATTCATTCTAACATGTCTAGCCTTTTGCTCCACACCACACTCATTCCCTTGATCACTGGGGGGGAAACGTGCACTGACACATGTTTGTCAAATGGCTGAATCTCATCTGTTAAAAAGCCACAAGCTCTGAAGATTCACTCTCTTCTGTCCACCCGGACTGATGTGAAGCAGCAAACCCAGATGGGGGCAACTGCAAGGTTTAACCTGAAGCAGTATAAGGGTGGGAATGTCAACAAGGAATATTACCAAAACTTTGGGTCATGTTCTTTAATCCACTCTCCAGTAATAAAGCTGACTTTGTAATCTTCAATTCTGCTTCCTGGACAGTTTCTCAATTTTTCTGAACAAATTATGGGGAGAGAGGGATATTATATATAGATCCCATATAGAGTGTCAATGGAAAACTGAAAAGGCTTCAAAATCAAGCAGAATCTGGCTCACCTCTTGCCATTTCCATTATTTTTGACTTTTCTCCATGGGGTGTTTGGTAGTCTGTGCGATCATCCATAATAAACTTGGATTTCTCAGAGGAAGAATTGGAATCCTCTCTACTTCGGGGTCTAGGTAGACTCTTTGGTAAACACCAGAAAGGCACAGCTGCAAGAAGACTTACAATTCCTGCTATTAGATAACCCAGCCACCAGGCACCTACCCACTGAGGATCCTTGGGAGTAATGGTTATGTGATCTGAAAGAGAGAGAGGATAGCTAAATAGCATGTACAGCAAAGCTGGTGTGTTGAAATCAGCCTCTTTAAAAAAGAAATCCTAGTGTTAGCTCTATCACATCATAAAATACCTAATAATTCATGCAGGATAACGTTCTAGTCTGAACATTATCATCACCTTGCTTTTTGAAGGGAACAAGGTGTTTCTGGGACATGATGCTTTTCTTCTTTTGTTCCTTAGATTTGAAATATAGATTCTAAATACTGCAAGAGTGGTCTCTACTCTGCCCTGAGGTTCTGCATAAGAATGCTTGGGCCCATGGCAGGAGGAAAGAAACATGTGAGGGAGAATTCTGAGGGCTCAAAATCTGCCAGCCACCCCACATCAGCACCACTTTCACCTGGTTCACAAATTGAATGTCTAAGATCTTACTTAAAAAAAAAAAGAGCTAAATCCTACACCTTCTGGTCAAAATCTGGTCTAAACCACTCAGAATGTTATTTATTAAATGATGGTTAATAATACTTCAGAGCTATTCAAGGTCTGAAGCAAGAATTGTATATGTAAATAAAATGTCAATATCTTAATCATTATAAAAACTTTATTTTTGACACCATTTTTTATTTGACTAGAAGCTAAGTATTGATGAATGAAATCAAGTGTTTTTTCTTTTCCATATGAAGAACCCATAAAGCATATAACTGGTCTACCTCCACTGTGCCCTATGAGAACAACAAAATAAACACATGTCCTTTGACAACTAGGCTCAATTGACACTACACCATACTTGGTAAAACATTCACACTAGTTCTCTGCATCTTCATTGCTTCCCCTGAACAATTTCCCTCTGTACCACTCATCACACCTATGCTTTCTTATCTGTACCAATTTCCATGACAGGATTTTAACGAACTCAAGGAATTCATCTACTATCTTGTTCACTATTTTGTGGTAGAACAGCACCTAAGATAGATATAAAACTACTAAGGTTAATGAGTAAGTGAATGAATAAATAAAAATTGTGGAATTCATCTTGAAGTTTATTTGATAAAAAAAGGAAAATTAGTGCAAGAGTTTTGCATTTAATTTTAACAGACAATGATTTCAAAAAGCAATTTCAGAATTTTTAAAAATGCAATTTATTTTCTTGGTTTTAACTGATTTCTTGAACTTCTTTAAAAAGAAAGAAAAATAAGCGTGCCTGGGTGGCTCAATCAGGTAAGCATCTGACTTTGGCTCAGGTCATGATCTTGCAGTCCGTGGGTTCAAGCCCCATGTCAGGCTCTGTGCTGACAACTCAGAGCCTGGAGCCTGCTTCGGATTCTGTGTCTTCCTCTCTCTCTGCCCCTCCCCCACTTGTACTCTGTCTCAATCTCTCTCTCACAAGTAAATGAACATTTAAAAAGTTTTAAAAAAATAAAGAAAAGTAATGCCCATTTCTAGGAGGTACATCTCATAAGGAAAGAAACAAATTAATACTTATGGAAAGATGAGTTCTGACATTTATTCCCTCCATAACTACTCTCTCAGGGGGTAAGGTAGTCCCACTCTAATATGCTTCCACCTGAAAATGATTTGTAAAGAATGAATTTTGGTTGCCGAAAGACTTTCAATTCTCGGTCTTCCTGGTAAGTCTACAAAATACATGATCAATCGATGTGACTGTCATGTTGATACACCTGAACCAACAAGAGCCAATGAGAAGCCACAGTTTTTAGTCTTAACTATGCTGGAATGTGTTTGAACTGGCAAACCAGAAGTGAAAAAGGATACATCTGAATAACAAACCATAGGTCGTCCGGTTCTAATCACTGCCTATTTTTCATATTTCATTTATTAATGTATGTGGTGATTATATCAACAACAAATTTTCAGTGGATTATTTTCATTCTAGGAAAGATTATAATCCTGTCATTTTATAAAAAGGGACTCTGATATTTTTTACACCATCTACATTTAAAAAATTGCAGTAACTAAGATAAATAAATAAACAAAAATAAACTTCCTTACCTAGGTTTACGAAGCCAATGTCAACATACAGTTTGGCACATAATGAGCCTAGCAGGAAGCCAAAGATTGGTCCTATAATTGCAACCGTCTGCACACACCCTGCACCAAAAAAAGGGGGGGGGCATTTCTCTGCTTTTGTAAATTAATACATTTTTAAACAAGAAATATGAGTGAAATCCAGTGAGTAGCTAAAAATATTTCATCAACTCTTCACTTAAGAGTGCTTAATTTGTCAATTTTTTCAACCTTATTGAATCAGGAAATAAGTTCTTCTCAGCTTTGGAAGAAGAACGAACACTTGGAAGGCATTAATTACTTCTTAGTAAAGACGTGACACCAAGACTCTGAAGAAGTTAACTTCCCCCAAATGGAGCAAACTTTACTCGTTAGGATTAGATTTCCCCCACTGATAAAAAATCAGAATTATACTATTTTGACAGTCTTTCAAAACTTTTTTGTGGCTGGCTAAGCATAAGAGTCATTTTGACATTAAACTTGATTTCTTCCACCTTAGTGAAGAAGTTCATGTGTTCAGAGAGTCTGTGTGAGAGTAGTAACTATGCATATCCCTGGATGCAGCCAGCAAGTGGAGCTAGACCTGGGAGGGCAGGAAGGTGCTCTCTGGAGTAACCATGACCAGCCTAGGCAGCTGTACCAGGAAAGTGGAGCAGACTGTATAAATGACATAATTTCTGGTTACCAGAAACATAACTCTTCCTTGCAAAGTATCTACTATATGCCTTTCATTTCACCACAGAGCTTGATACATGCATATCCCTGACGATTAATTTAAATTGATAGGAGGAGTAAATGGCAGTTACAGAACCTTTTCAGAAGAGAAGACAGGATGAACAGAGTGAGCAGGAAGGGGACACCTTGATACATGCCTGCATCTCTTGGCTTGCAATCTTTCCTCTAGTCTCCAGAGTCATTGCCTAGCAACTTCTACTCTAGTTTCTGATTTATGCTGGAATTTTCCATTAGAGCAGGTAACCTGTTTTTAATTACAGGCTGCCAGACTGTAATCAGAGCCCTCTGGAGTTCTGTGTGCATGGCCAGCAAAGAACTATACTGTGGAGCTAGCCACAGCCCCTCCCAATGAATTTCAGTCTTGTCCTTCTGTCCCTTGAAGGCCAGGCCCTCAAAGATCAGAACCCAAAAAAAAACCAAGACTGGTGTGTGAAATAGAGAAAAAATTAGTTTCTAAGACATAAGAGGCACTCAGTCAATACCGCTTAGATGTATCTGGACTTGGAGTTTGCTTTTGCTATATTTTGTTTTGTGTGTGTGTGATTTTAGCTGCTGGTCTATCCAATGGGGCCTGTTCCAGACATGGGTTCGTGTCAGGCCTTGCTCTCATACTTTCTGTGTTTTTCTTTATCCATTCATACCTGCTACTGATAACTCAGAATTCCTTTCAGGCTATCCCTCATAGAAAAAAAAGATGCTTGAAATAATCAGGGCTTTTATCTTGGAAAGCAATTTCTAGGGCTCTGGAGACAAATATATACATATACATACATATGTATGTGTGTATATATATATATATACACACATACATACATATATATATATATATATATATACACACACATACACACACACACACATAGCTATATACACATATATATATATATATATGATACCTAAATGTTTCAGTGTCACAGTTAACCCAATAAAAAGAACCTATGAAATATGAAGTCCATGAAGATACTTGTACAAAGTCGTACATGATTGCAGTTGATCTTATAGTTATTTTCTTTTAATCTGATGTTCTTTCCCTAACGTGACATGTCCTTCTAATGCAAGTTTCTTTATCATCCAAATCCTCAGAGTGGACATCAGATATGTGTGAACCTCAATATAGGAACTGGATATGAAGTATCAAACTCTATTGCACACTCTATTCCACTCAGTTTGGAATAGAGTTGAGAAAACCAGATATGCTGCTTCCCAAGAAGATGAATGGGGTAGGCATTACCAATATAGAAAGCAGAATTGTCTTCACTGGCAAAATCATCAAGGTAGGCAATGCCTAGAGGCTGAATAGGAGTTTCCCCAATTCCACGAAGAAGGTTCCCCAGGAAAACATAAACCCACATGGAAGAGCTGGCATCAATTTCACATTCTTGAAAGGAAAGCAAACAAGAGAAGTGAAATTAGATCAGTATCAAAGTTAAATACTTATTTTGCATTTCTACAAGCTGTCCTAAAATTGGATTAGGATGTAAAAATGAAATTTTCAACAGACTTAATTTGATAGGAGTCTAAGCAAGACTGGAAAATATTTTCTCCTCAATATTTTAGGCAATATAAATCCCCCAGAGGTTTTGATAAAAGGACTCTTTTGTTTCTTGTTTCTGATGCCTTGTTTCTTATTTTCTCTTCTCTTTTTATTTTATATTTATACTGTGTACTTTGAATTCCTATGCTCCAATAACATTCACTATCCTGTCTGGGAAAAAAACACAAAATTTTGAACAAAGGCATTTCTCGCCTTAATCTTTAAACTTTTCTATTTTTCAACAGAAATCCCTTGTAATTTTATTGCTGACCAAGTTTTATCTGAAATTTAAATTTTTATATGGATGATACTTCAACTTTGGACAGCATTACAATCGTTTGTTAGTGAATAGCCATTTTTAGGGATCAGGTTTAGGAAACAAAGTCACAAAAATTTAAAACTCTATATACTTTAGTAGTATAACTATTTAGTAGTATAACTATACTTTTGGCAGTATTCTTAGACATTCAAAGCTAACTATTTTAAAATGCTTTTATAGAAGTCATGTCTTGATATAATCATGTAAAGCTGGAGAATTACCCCCACATCACAAGTGAAATATATTTTGAAGAATTTGATCACTTTAATAAAAGTGATAATGTTATCTATCTCTGACAATCACCACTTGTGAGTGCTCCCTTTCTGCCAGGCACTGGGCTAAATGGTTTGCAGGCATTTTTAAATTATTTTCTCCTAATCATATGAGGTAGGAGTTATTTACACTTATTAGTAGCCTTTAAGTAAAATTTGAAAGTAAAATATAGGTTATTTGGAACTGGGATGAATCCTTTTGGGTAGATGAATCAGACTGTGTAACAGACAAGACTATTGTGTAGTCATGTTCCTTCTAATTCTGCCTCTTCTAGAAATGTAGCCAAGTGACCACGCATTTTCACTTATCTTTTCTAGATTTCCATTTCACTCCCCAAAATATAATGGGAATTCCTTTTCCAAAAAATTGATTCTAATGTCAATTCTACCCCTGACATTTGTGTGATCCCAAGATCACACGAGGGTAGGGAAATATTGTAGACAGGTGAAGATAGCTTAGATCTGTGTTTTCCAATATGGTAACTACACAACACATGTGGCTACTGAATAGTAAATTAATTAAAGTTACATAAAAGTAAAAATTCAGTCCTCAGTCACACTAGCTATATTACAGAAGTCAACAGTCACATGTGCTAGTGGCTGCTGTATTAGACAGCATAGATATAGAACATTTCCACTGTTGCAGAGTTTTTTTGGACATCTCAGCTCTCCAGTGTAGTGGGAATGGGGGTTGTAGGTGGAGCATTTTTGACAAGAGTCCTATTATCACCCTACTATAATTTTTAGGATAAACTTTGTGTCCACTATATCTGATGTTTATACAGATCTATGACTTTAAGGGAGCAGGACCTCATTTAAAGCAAAGAAAAAGATTGTGGGTCTTATGCTGTATACCTGTCTAAAACCTGTCTCTACATTAAAAACATTTTTAAAGTTTATTTATTTATTTATTTATTAATTATTTAGAGAGAGAGAGAGAGAGAAAGGGGATGGAGAGGGAGGATCCCAAGCAGGCTCCGTGCTATCACTGCAAAGCCTAACCTGGGGCTCGATCCCATGACCATGAGATCATGACCTGAACGGAGATCAAGAGTTGGATGCTTAACTGACTGAGGTACCCAGGCGCCCCACATTAAAAAATTTTTAATTCCCACCTCTAGATGCTATGTTTCTCTTCTTAACACTAAAGGTTTAAATATTTCGTGATTAGCTGTATTGCCATCTACATCCTATCTTTCCTGTCAAAAACAAAATATCTTCAATAACTGTACATTATGTGGAAGTGAAAGTCCAAACCCTCCTTTCACACTCTTCTCTTCTTCCAGGGGGCTTTTCTTCTTCTTTTCATACAGCAGGATAGGGTACACTTGTTACATGTTCACATCTTCCCTACCTCCCTGCCTCATATTTCTATTAATCCTCTGGCCCTTCCCTTCATCCAGACCTCTGGAGTTCATTGCTCAGGAAAAAAGACATCTCAAAAGAAAGCACTGATGATGATATTAGGGGAAAGAAAAGGTTTTATGGTATAGATAAAAGATTTGCATGACTAGCAGGTATAGAAAAGAGGAGCTTCCACACTGCCTATACAGCAATCTGTAGGCTAGGAGCAGGGAGTGGGGTGGGAGTGGTGAGGAGGAAGCGTCGAGCATGTCAATGCTCAAGGGCAGTGGAGACAGGGCATTTGAGCTCATCCCGGAGACATAGCAAACACCTGAGGGGAGATCTGTGGATTTCCTAGCAGGAAGAACCTGGGCCACCATGGTAGAGCCAGGGAGGTAGCAAAACCCAAAAGACAAGATGGCTACATATGTAGAACAGTGTGGCTAAGCGTCCTGCTTTTGGCTCCTCAAAAGCTTTATAAGAGATGATTTCCATGTTCCCAAGGGTGCTCACACAAAGCATTGCTATGCAATGTGCATCAGCCATATGGAATTCTAGACATCCTGACAAAATTCCTTGCATCCTGTGTTGTGTGGAAAACAATTATTCCCAAGTTTCCAAGACTGTCACATCTGCATCAGGAAGAGCTTCTGAGCTAAAAAAGGACATAAAGGTAGACATGGGATGGCCCTAAAGTGACATGTATGACCAAATATTGTGGCCAGAGGGATTTTAAATACCTAAGTTGACAAGGGACCAATAACACCAAGAGGCCCCTCCCACAACTTCCCTCTTTGCTATTATGTAAGCTCCCTAGAATATAAGCAACCCCTGGGGAAAAAGGTAAGGTTAGGGACAAAATGAATGAGATTCAATTTATCCCATTCTGATGGAAAGGGGCTGAACACAGAAGTTAAATTGAGATCTGGGGAAGAATATATTTCTTTCATATCTGAACACTGGACTGAGATTAATATGTGCTAAACTAGTTTTATCCTAATTCATGGCCCACCTTATTTGGAACCATGGGAAGCTTTTCCCAGTCGCCAGCAATTAATGCTCTTTCCATATTTTCTTCAGATCTCATCATATACTGCTTTATATTCTAGGAATTTTTATGGCACTATAGTATCTCAATTTAAGTAGTAAAGCTTTTAAGAGAAAAACATCACATAAATTTTTTGCCCATACTAAAGCAATATAAAGTCTTTATAAAAAGCTATCTTAGTCAAGTAAACAAAACCATCTTACCATCACTTCTTTTGGATTGTGATTTTTCTATAATTGAGATAGGTAATTGATTGTCTGACTCCAGGAGACATGGAGAGATGCTCAGAGTGGAATTAGAGAAAGGAGAATACTTTTCATATCTGTACCTGTAAAAAAGAATGTTTTTTCACTACAGACTCATTTAACATCATACTAAAAATATTAAATGTACACTACATGACTTATTATGGAACCTGTTTGAGTTTGCACTACCCTTGAGTCTGAATCACTAAACCAAAGCAGCATTTAACAGCAGATGTCCTGAAGAGATAACCAGAAAGTCTCATTTACAGGTATTACACCATATCTCAACCAGTTAGTGTAGTAAAAGAAAATAAAAGTAATAATTATTCATAAGGGTTCATTTTAATGTAAAAATAATGACTATAAATCACCTATTCCCCTGGTGAAAAAATATCCAATGTTTGATAAAATCATGACAATCTCCAAGTCAGAGGAAAAGCAATAATTTAAAAACTATGGTATTGCATGCTATATTTAGAGTTGTAAATTTAGTAGAACAACTGCATTGCTGATTCTAGAGAATTGATGATGATGTGTGGGTTTTTTTTAACTTTTTAAATTCCAGGGGCGCCTGAGAGGCTCAGTCGGTTGAGCGTCCAACTTTGGCTTAGGTCATGATCTCGTGGTTCATGAGTTCAAGCCCTGCGTTGGGCTCTGTGCTCACAGCTCAGAGCCTGGAGCGTGCTTCAGATTCTGTGTCCCCCTCTCTATCTGCCCCACCCCTGCTTGTGCTCTCTCTTTCAAAAATTAATAAACATAAAAAAATTAACAAAAACTTTTAAAATTCAAGTTAGTTAACATCTAGTGTAATATTAGTTGCAGGTATACGATATAGTGACTCAACACTTCCATACAATACCTGATGCTTATCATGACAAGTGCACTCCTTAATCCCAATCACCTATTTAACTCATTCCCCTACCCACCTCCTTTCTGGTATCTATCAGTTTGTTCTCAATAGTTAAGAGTCTGTTTCTTGGCCTCTCTCTCTCCTCTTTTGCTCATCTGTTTTGCTTTTTAAATTCCATGTGAATGAAAGCATGTGGTATTTCTTTGAGTTATTTCACTTAGCATAATATTCTCTAGCTCCATCCATGTCATTGTAAATGGCAAGATTTCATTCTTTATGACTGAAAAATATTCCACCAAAAATATATGTCATATATATTATATAATATTATATAATAATAACATATGGCACTTATTCCTTATCCATCTGTCAACAGACACTTGGGCTGTTTCCTTAATTTGGCTATTATGGATAATGTTGTTATGAACATCAGGGTGCATGTATCCTTTTACATAAATATTTTTGTATTCTTTGGGTAAATACCTAGTGGCGCAACTGCTGGATCATAAGGTAGTTCGCTTTTTAACTTTTTGAGGAAACTTCATACAGTTTTCCACAGTGGCTGCACTACTTTGCACTGCCACCAACAGTGCAAGAGGGTTCCCCTTTCTCCACATCCTTGCCAACACCTGTTGTTTCTTGGGTTGTTGATTTTAGCCACTGTGACAGGTGTGAGGTGATATCTCACTGTAGTTTTGATTTGCATTTCCCTGATAATAAGTGGTATTAAGCATCTTTTCATAAGACTATTGGTCATCCGGATGTCTTCTTTGGGAAAATGTCTCTTCATGTCTTTTTTATTGGATTTTTAAATTTTTAATTGGATTATTCATTTTGGAGTGTTGAGTTTTATAGGTTCTTTAGAGATTTTAGGTACTAACCCTTTATCAGATATGTCATTTGCAAATATCTTTTTCCATCCTATAGGCTGCCTTTTAATTTTGTTGATTGGTTCCTTCACTGTGCAGAAGCTTTTTATTTTGCTGAAATATCAATAGTTTATTTCTGCTTTTGTTTCCCTTGCTTCAAGAGACATATCTAGAAACAAGTTGGTACTTTTTAAAAAATGTCTATTTATTTTTGAGAGAGAGAGAGCAGGGGAGGGGCAGAGAGAGAAGGAGTCACAGAATCTGAAGCAGGCTACAGGCTTTGAGCTGTCAGTGCAGACCCCGATTCAGGGCTTGAACTCAGGAAAGGTGAGACAATGACCTGAGCCAAAGTCGGATGCTTACCCGACTGAGCCACCCAGGTGAGCCAGAACTTGGTACTTCTGATGCCAAATTGTTTACTGCTTGGGTTCTCCTCTAGGATTTTTCTGGTTTAAGGTCTCACATTTAGGTTTTTAATCCATTTTGACTTTTGGGTATGGTGTGAGAAAGTGGTCTGGTTTCTTTCTTTTGCATATTGCTGTCCAGTTTTCCCAACACCATTTATTGAAGAGACTTTTTTTTTTTCCCATCAGATATTCTTTCCTTCTTTGTCAAAGATTGGTTGACCATATAGTTGTGGGTTCATTTATGGGTTTTATATTCTGCTTCATTGACCTACGTGTCTGTTTTTGTGCTAGTTCCATACTGTCATAATTGCTACAGCTTTGCAATATAACATGAAGCCCAGAACTGTGATTCCTCCAGCTTTGCTTTGCTTTTTCAAGATGGTTTTCGATATTTGGAGTCTTTTGTGGTTCCATACAAATTTTAGGATTCTTTGTTCTAGCTCTGTGAAAACTGCTGTTGGTATTTTGATAAAGATTGCATTAAATCTGCAGATTGTTTGGGTAATATAGACATTCCAATCGATGAGCATGGAATGTCTATTTCTTTGTGTCATCTTCAATTTCTTTCCTGAGTTTTATAGTTTTTAGAGTACAGATCTCTTTGTTTAGGTTTATTCCTATGTATCTTATTGGGTTTGATGTAGTTGTAAATAGGACTGATTCCTTAATTTCTCTTTCCGTTGCTTCTTCATTGGTGTATAGAAATGCAAAATATTTCTGTACATTGATTTTGTCTCCTGTGACTTTGGTGAATTTATCAGTTCTCACAGGTTTTTTTGTTTTTTTTTTTTTTTTGGTGGAGTCTTTCAGATTTTCTATATAGAGGATCATGTCACCAGCAGATAGTGAAAATTTGACTTCTTCCCTGCTGATTTGGATACCTTTTCTTTTTGTTGCCTGATTGCTGTGGCTAGGAGTTCCAGTATCATATTGAATAAAACTGGTGACAGAGGACATTCCTTTTTTGTTCCTGACCATAGAGGAAAAGCTCTCAGTTTTTTCCCATTGAGGATATTAGCTGTGCGTTTTTCACATATGGCCTTTATTATGTTGAGGTTTGTTCCCTCCAAATCTACTTTGTTGGAAAAACATTTTTATGAATAGATTTGTACTTTTTCAAATGCTTTTTTTGCATCTATTGTAATAATCATATGGCTCTTATCCTTCCTTTTATTAATGTGGTATATCACATTTATTGATTTATGAATATTGAACCACCTTTGACCCTACTTCATCGTGGTGAATGATTTTTTAAATGTATTGTTGGATTTGGTTTGCTAGTATTTTCTTGAGAACTTTTGTATCTATGTACATGAGGTATTGGTCTATAGTTCTCTTTATTAGTGGAATCTTTATCTGGTTTTGGTATCAGGGTAATGTTGGTCTCATAGAGTGAATTTGGAAGTTTCCCTTCCTTTTCTGTTTTTTGGAATAGTTTGAGAAGAATAGATATTAGCTCTTCTTTAAATGTTTGGCAGAACTCCCCTGTGAAGGCATCTGGACTTTTGTTTTGGGGGAGGTTTTTGATTACTGATTCAATATCTTTGCTGATTATAGGTCTATTCAAGTTTTCTATTTCTTCCGGTTTCAGTTTTGGTAGTTTATATGTTTCTAGGAATTTATCCATTTCTTCTAGGTTGTCCAATTTGTTGGCATATAGTTTTTATAATATTCTCTTATAATTTTTATATTTCTATGGTGTTATTTGTTATTTATCTTCTCACATTTGTGATTATTTGGGATCTTTCTCTTTTCTTTTTGATAAGTCTGGCTAGAGGTTTATCAATTTTATTAATATTTTCAAAGAAACAGTTCCTGTTTTCATTGATCTGGTTCTATTGTTTGTTGTTTTGTTTTGTTTTTCTTTTTCTTTAGTTTCTGTATCATTTATTTCTGCTCTAATATTTATTTCCCTCCTTCTGATGGCTTTAGATTTCATTTGTTGTTCTTTTTTCTAGCTTTAGGTATAAGGTTAGGTTGTTGAGATTTTTCTTGCTTCTTGAAGTAGGTCTGTATCACTATATACTTCCCTCTTAGAATAGCTTTTGCTGAGGGGTGCCTGGGTGGCTTAGTCGGTTAAGCATCTGACTTTGGCTCATGTCATGATTTCACATGTCATGATCTCACAGTTCATGAGTTTGAGTCTAGCTTCGGGTTCTGTGCAGACAACTCAGAGCCTAGAGCCTGCTTCAGATTCTGTGTCTCCCTCACTCTCTGCTCCTTCCCCACTTGCGCTCTGTTTCTCTCTCAAATATAAACAAACATTAAAAAAATTAAAAAAGTGTTTTGCTGCATCCAAAGGTTTTGGACCATCATGTTTTCATTTTCATTTTTTCCATGTTTTTTTTTTTTTTTTTTTTTTTTTAGTTTCCTGGTTGACTCATCCATTGTTTACTAGCATGTTGTTTAACCTTCATCTATTTGTGGTCTTTTCAAATTTTCTCTAGTGGTTGGCTTTTACTTTCATAGTGTTATGGTCAGAAAAGGTGCATGGTATGATTTTAATCCTTTGTACTTGTTGAGGTCTGACTTGTGACCTAATATGAGATCTATTCTGGAGAATGTCCCATGTGCACTTGAAAATAATGTGTATTCTGCTCTTTTAGGATGAGATGTTCTGAATATGTCTAAGTCCATCTGGTTCAGCGTGTCATTCAAAGTCACTTTTTCCTTGTTGATTTTCTGCTTAGATGATCTGCCCATTGATGTAAGTGGGGTGTTAAAGTTCCTTACTCTAATTGTATTATCATCAATTAGTTCCTTTATTTTTGTTTTTATTTATTTTATATATTTGGGTGCTCCAACGTTGGTTGCATAAATACTTAACAATTGTTAGATCTTGTTGGATTGTCCCCTTTATTATGAGACAGTGCCCTTCTTTGTGTCTTGTTACAGTCTTTGTTTTAAAGTCCAGTTTGTCGGATATAAGTATTGCTACTCTGGCTTTTGACTTGTAT